ATAGAAAGGAAGGAAAGAATGATTTTTTTTTGTAGGGAAAATTGATACTTTCAACTTTTCCCTAAAAATATTTTTTGAAAATTTCGATTTTCAAGGAAAATTGATACTTTCAACTTTTCCTCAAAAACCCTTTTTTTGAAAATTTATTTCTAAGGAAAATTGATACTTCAACTTTTCCCCAAAAATATATTTTTTTGAAATTTTGCATTTTTTAAGGAAAATTGATACTTTCAACTTTTCCCCAAAAATATATTTTTTTTTGGAAATTTATTTTTCTTTTAAGGAAAATTGATACTTTCAACTTTTCCCTAAAAATATTTTTTTTCGAAATTTATTTCTGAGGAAAATTGATACTTTCAACTTTTCCCCAAAAATATTTTTTTTTTTATTTCTGAGGAAAATTGATACTTTCAACTTTTTCCCAAAAATATTTTTTTGAAAATTTATTTCTAAGGAAAATTGATACTTTCAACTTTTCCCTAAAAATATATTTTTTTTTTGGAATTTTTTATTTTTATTTAAAGAAAATAAAATAATAAAAAATAAATAAAAAGAATATTACATAAACCTAATCTAATAAATAAAAATTTAAAATAAACAAAGAAATAAATAAAATAAAAAAATTCAAAGAAAAAAAAAAAAAAAACCTGGAGCGGCTCGGATCGCGGCTCGGCTCGGCTCGGCTCAAGGCAGGAAAACGGCTCGGGGGGAACGGCTTGGCGGCTCGGCTCGGCTCGGAGGGGGCTGGCACGCGCGGGTCAGAAAGCGGGTCGACGCCCGGGTCGGGTCGGGTTGCGGCAAAACGCGCGGATCCTCTGGGTTACTTAAGGCCAAAACGACGTCGTTTTGGGAGGGTATAAAAGGCACCTTCCTCCGTTTTTCGGCAGAACGCTCCTCCCCCTCTCTCTCTCTTCTTCCTTTTTCTCTCCCTTCTCTCTAGAAACCGAAGAACACCGGTGCCGGATTCTGGAAATTTTCGCCGGAATCTGGAAATTTCACCGGAAGTTGGTCGGAAAGTCGCCGGTTTCTGGGATTCTTCGCCGGAAACTTCAATGTTGGCCGGAATTTTCGCCGGAAAATTCAAACTTCGCCGGAATTTTCGTCGGAATCTGGAAATTTCCCAGAAATTTCCAGAAAAAATTTTCGCCAAAAATTTCTAAAAAATTTTTCTCACTCCCAGAACACTCCTAAACTTTTTCTAACTTCCTATACGCCTCCTTTTCTCTCAAATCAGTAGCTTTGCTTACTGTTTTCTGTGTTTTTGAACTGTTCCAGGAGGTGCTTTATATAGGGATTGATCAGGAGTTTCTGATCAATCCCAATTCCTCCTTGGACGGGAATTCAATCTTTGAATCCCACTGGACTCTTCTGATTGAATTCCCACTTCCAATGGGATTCTTCAGCCTTCAATCTCAGCCCTCCAAAATCAAAATAAAAAAAACTAGATAATTAGAAAAGAAAATCAAAAATTAAAAATTAAAAATAATATCAGATAATTCGGGAAAAAGAAGATAGAATTAACAGATGATTAAAAAAATAATAATAACAAATAAAATAAGATAAACCCAAAAATATATTACACAAAAAAAAATAATAATAATATATAACTGTATAAATAAAATACATATAAATCTAATCTGAATAAAAATAAATAAATAAAGA